AATTCTATATTATGGATTTATATAGCTAGAAGGACTTCTGGCCTATGATTGGGAGCTTTCTGGATATCTTTTTTTTTGACTCTAGGACTCCCAAAATTGCTCTACTACTACTTTAAAAAAAGTGTGAGAAAATCATTTTTATGTAACATAACTAGATCAGGTTTAATCCTTTTTTTTGGTTTGGTAATAATGAAGGCAGGATCTTCAAACAAATCTGATAATCCTTTTCTTTTTCTATTATATATCTTTTTCTTGATTTGGTTGATTAATCAACAATATATTTTATAGGATTAAGTCAGATTCTTTCTTTTTATATAAAGATGGAGCTATATTTTCATACTACAAATTACATTAAACCCTTAAGAAAATACTATGGATTAAATAATAAAGCAATAATAAAAAGAATAATAAAAAGAAACTTTAATTATGCATCTGATAATAAATGAAAATAAAAAGGATCAAATTGTCATGTATCTGATTATACTGCCGTGATGAATTGACCAATCTGAATCTAAAAAAATCGCTCTAGAAGATAGAAAAAATTAAAATAAATAATAAAAAAGGGGATTAGTAATCCTAATAAATGCAAAAAAAAAGATCAAATCGTCACACACCAGACTGTGCCACTGTGATGAATTGACTGATTCAATTCTAAAGAAATTGCCCTAGAAAATAGAAAAAATTAAAATAAATAAATAAAAAAGGGGATTAGTAATTCCAAAAAAATGGATCAAATTATCATGCATCTAACTGCGTTACTGTGATGAACTGACTGATCTGAATCTAAAGAAATCACCTTAGAAGATAAAAAAATTAAAATAAATAATAATAAAAAGGGAATTAGTAATCTCAATCAATATATAAAAAAAGAATCAAATCATCATGCATCTGACTATACCGCTATGATGAGCCGAAGGTATCCAAAGTGTCGCATCTAAAAGGACGAAATCATTTTATATTTTTTTTAATGTCTCCCCTCCCCCTTTTTTAATTTTGTTTTTATCTTTTCATTTTTATTTAATTTATTAATTAATTTATTTTTTTTTAGTTTTTATACATACCATTTTTTTATTCCAGTTCAGATTAGATTTATAATCTGAAAAAAATCTGAACTGAACTGAAAATTTTCAGATTGAAATTTTTGCAATCCGAAACTGAACTGAAGTTGATCTGAACTGAAAATTTTCAGATTAATCTGAACCGTTTGAAGCTTTATTCACGTTAGGCATGATCATAAATTCCATTATGTGTACTACAAATTCTAGTATCAGAATAGGTTCCCTTCTTACAAACAAGGCATATTATTCTAGAAAGAGCATTAAAATATCTGAAATATCCTAATTCACGCTAGCATCCTTTTTCACAAATCGAACTATCTCTCATATTAGCAGGTTAAAAAATCCATACTAGGTAATTTTGATACTAATAATATTAAAACTTTATCTTCACTTTTATTATAGATATTCAAAAATGTGTTATACCGGTCTAGAGCATAAGCTATATCATCTTTATTTTTTTTTGTGCCTCTCTAGCCAGTTTTTCTTATAAATAAGTTTGGCATGATCTGTACAAAAATTAATCTGAAAATATGTCAGCTTATTACAGAATATACATCTTTTTTAGGCAGTGATTTATAATGTCTGATACATTTGGTCTCACGCAAGCATCTTTTCTTGCAAATAGACTTATCTTTTTTGATATATTGGCAAAACCAAGATGGTAAATTAGAAGTAATCTCTTTAGAGTCCTCTGAATTAGCTGTATTTCTACTAAGATTCATAGTACTTCTTTTTGGAAAAGTTATTAAGATTAATATATATCAAACTTCCTTTTATTTTTTATTATAAATAGATCTGATAAATATTTGAAAATATAACACATATCTTTCAAAAAAATGGAAATTATTTTTTATTTTAAAAATTTGATTTTCTTAATATATATATACTAAAAAAATTCTACTAATCTACTTATCATTGACATAGTTACCAAAATGGCTACCTTAAAGACCCAAAACTTAAAGCTAATAACTTTGTATTAGTATTAGAGCAATTCCTAAAAAAGTATAATCTTTTGACTGACTCTACCCTAGAACAATTAAGCAAACATGCTTCTGAACTTGATGCTTTGCTTCCTGATTAGATGGCTCACAGATGCATTAAAGTTACCCTTGTTAAAGACACTGATAATAGACATTCATTAGTAAAGAGCAGATAGAGGCTCTCTTACCAGATAAGAGAAAGAAAAACCTTATTATTAAGGGAAAGGCAGAATACTGTGCTAAGGCTGGTGATTTTGTAGATATTATCACTAATCATTAGACAGTGAGTCTGAAAAATAAAGATGAAAATGAAATCATTGCCAGTGTTTCGCATCAGTTAACATTTTATGTAAAGTTAGCAGAAGGTGGTGTAGATCCTGCAATTATTAAAGAATTTGTTAAAGACAAGAATCTTATCTAAGATTCTAATAAAATTCAGAAAGAACGAACTAAAAAATGAATGGCTAATCTAGACAGAATTCTCATATATTTCTCCTTAGCAAATGTGAGTAAAAGGATTCAGAACATGAATATTTCCAAAATTCCTACTAGAGAGAATCTTACGGATGTGATAGTGATGTTAAGTATGAAACCTGCGAAAGTAAGATCTCTTCAGATCAATATCTATGAACTGGACTCTTTGAATATTCTATTATAGTATAAAGAAGGCTATTTTTGGTACTGTACTAGCTATTTAAAGAACAGAGGAGAAAAGAAGAAGAATCCTGATCCTCAACCATTTCTTTCTATGAAAAAGAATCCAGAACGTGCAAGAGAATTACTTACTTAGATTCAAGATGCAATTAAGACTAAAAAGTTATCTGATCCTGTTTTTACTGAATGTGAAACACGTAATGCTTGACCATTTAATGAATTTTTAAAGCAAGAATCTTATAAAACTATACCTAAAAAATTAAGAGATTATGAAAGTAAATACGCTTCCAGAATTTATGGTAGTAAGAATCTAACTCTCCAGCATCTTAAACTACTTTCGAGAATCGCATTAAATCAAGAATCTGACTGCCTTGATGTAAGTGATAATTATACTATAGGTGATACAGAATCAGAGGAGTCCAGCTCTAAATCTGACCACAACCTAGAGCTAAAATCAGAGTCTGTGAAAAATGATGAAATTTCTGAAATTATCAATATATATAGCTACTAACAACGCGCCTTTAGCAAATTTTGCTAGATCTATCACTAATATGCGTAATTTTTCTGAAGGTGCTTTACTATTTTTTCGAGATCGCATGATCCTGAAAATCTAATGACTTTATAAATTTCTCTTGGTAAAATGTTACAGTCTCTATGTATATATACTAACTAATTTTTGAATATTTCACTTCTTGTATAAAATTTATCAATCATATCATTCGAGCTTGAAGTATTGAAATAGCGTATCGTTAAACTTGAGGCTAAGAATGTTAAGCTTGAGGTAGAAAAAGCTGAACTTTTAAAGCAGATTGTGAAGAAAAATACTAGACGTGATATTAGAGTTGAAAAACTGAAGCAAAAAAATAAGGAGCTTGAGATCAGACTTGTGATAGTAAAACAGATTTTCTTACTAGTAAAAGAGCAGTCATATAATGATAATCCTTCTGATAATAGTATATCTAACTTTAATTCAGTTACAGAGTATTATGAGAAATCATTGATGGATGTGGAAACAACTAATTCTCCTGAAGAGGTTTGCTATAATAAACAAGAACTAGTGATAACAGTATCTACTAACTTTGTGAAGTGCTTGCGAAATATCTTAATAGTTAACGACAAATCATTGAAAGAGAAAGATATAAATAGTTTTTTGCTTAAGGCTCATAAGAAAATTGTTAGTTATGTGATAAGGCAGAGAAAACGAAAGGAAAAACTTTAACGTGAATTGACAATTGCCAACCCATTATATAACTTTGAAAAAAATGACCAGGTGATTTCAGAAATTTTGAGAGAATTTGAAAAAACTGTTCCCTCAGAAAATGATCAGAATCATATGATTTCAGGTGAATCAGATCTTCTATCGTGAAGCAAGACAATAATATGATTTAAGAGAAATTGCTTGATAAAAATCAAATTGTAGAATAAAGTCTAATACATGAATTATATGTACTTATATTATTTGAAGAGATTTCAGATAGACAAGATTATGTTAAAATCATCAGCTTTTACATTAGTTTGGAGAATATGATTTCAGATTTTGTCCAGCACTTATCTTATTTATTTGAAACAGCAATAAAATCCAGTCAGCAGAAAATATTAGATTGGTACAATTATTCCTTTGAATTTAAGAATAAGATAGGTACTCTTACGACTGATGGTAGAATTAAGGATAAAATAGTAAGATCAATAATTTACAAGAAAATGAAATTATTTCTCTCTATTAAAATCACACAAGTTAACTTACACAAAAAAACTTATAGGGTTAGAAAACATCTCATATTATTTTGAAAAAATGGGATTGAAATAGATAAAATTAAGCTGGTCTCATATAACACAACTAAAATTTTGAAACTAACTAATGCACAAATCTAAAATATCATAAATCAAGTAAAAAAGTATACTAGCAAATATCAGAGTCATGTAACTTTAAAAACTGTTTCCTCAGAGGACGATCAGATTAAGACTAAGGTAAGTATATCAGCAAATATATTACCTTTACCTCAATTTAAGAGTCTATTCTATGACCGCTCCTATTTGCGTAATAAAATATTGAATTAATATCCTACTTTATATAGAGAATTTAGTAGTGAAAATTTCAATGATTATGGCATTACTGATGAGATATCATGCCTATTATGCAGTTTAGATCATGATGATGAGAAAAGTATAAAAGGTATATATAAATTCAGATCTTACTTTATTAAATGTAAACAGCGTGAAATTGAGATAACTGCATAGTCTCATTACTCCTTTCTTATATTATAGATACTTCGAAAGATGATTTAATTATTTTTTTGGAAATATGATAAAAAATAGTAGACAGCTTTCTATTCAGGAATTTAAATTGATCTGTAATCATATAAAAAGGCAATATAAGAAAGTTCGATAAAGTATTAATCTCTAAGTATCTAGATTGGCTTGTCAAATTAACTGATTTACTATGCATTTTGATGGATAAGATTTGGTCTAGCTTATATAAAAAATATAAAAAAGAAACTGAATATGATCTATAGCAATTATTAAAAACGCATATATCAGAAGCCCATACATCAAAAGCCAGCCTTCTCATAAATTTGAAGCCAGAAAATAAAGTATCCTATTTATCTTTTCCTGAACAATTTGAAGAAAATAAGCCCATCACTTTTGAAGCCAAACCTAATCTAGAATTAATTATCAAGTCTGTCTAAGAACATTTCACATATCTGAAATTCTGAAATAGTTTCAGAGGGATTGATAATTATAATTTTGCATCACCTCAACTGTGGAGCTTACCATGTCTTATTTGTGATGGAAAACATGGGAATTATGGATTACATGGCGAATGGTATGGAACAGAATATTATCTTAGCTGTAACTCTTCAAGCAATAAATTCAAGTTTACAATCGTAGCTACATGATAGCATTGTTGCACTAGATATTATTCCGCAGTGTAAACAAAAATATGTATTTTTTTTTTATTTACAATCAATAAAGCTAAAGTACATTAAACACAATATATTTATATGTCATATTTAGTATGTGTTGAGGAGAGTATGAGATGTGTTTGTATGCTAATATTTCTTAATCAGTTTTTCATCTGTGAATCGATACTTGATAAAAATGCAGTATTGTTTAAAAAAAGTCATCATGTATTACGAAAATAAGTCATTACTACTATATCATTTATTCTCGAAACTTCTCGCATATACTCAAGTTTTATATGTATTAATAATAAAAAAGATCTTCTTGTTGATTCAGAAACACGATCCCAGCATCTATTACAATTTTAAGGAGTATCCATTGAGCTAATTTCATGATAAATCATAATAACGTAATTTTCCCAAAGATTTATTCCAAAAATCGATTCTTAAATGCACTACAAATCTTATAAAAAGGTGAAGCTTTATTTAGTGAATCCTTTTATCCGCCTTGTGCAAGTAAAGCAAAAAAGGATCAAACTTATTACTATTAATCTCAACAATATCAACAATCAATCAAACGAGTATATTCCGCAAAGCAATAACAAAGTCAGTTTGTTTAATTTCTTGGCTTGATTCTAGAAAATCGTCATCACGATGCTAATCATTTTTTCTGGCTCTATAGATGCTCAAAGATAAAGCAGACATATTACCTTTCTTGATTCTTTCTGCATATTTGATATTTGCCGTGATCGTTGTCACGTGACTAATCAGATATATATATATTTTTTATCACCTGATACAGTGTGCAATATATCGAATAAAAATTTTCTGAATTATTAATATTTGACGCAGTATCGAACTGATGATAAAAAAAATCGAAATATCTTTATTGCAATGCATTTAAGCAACAAAATTTATTGATTATGAGGCGATGTAGAATATTATAAAAATGAATTATAACGGTAAGTGTGAATTGTAAGCCCTCTTCTTGTTTTATTTTTTTTAACTCATTGCTAATCTTAAGAATTCTTCCTATAGATTTGAAATCATTTCATTTCGAGGAAATTCTCTTGTGAGAAATAATCTTACATAGTCTGTGTGGGTGGGAGTGATATAGTAATGTTTCTAGCGAAACTGTTTTTTGATTGGCGAAATATTTCGCCTTTTAGAGTTAAATTTTGAAATTCTGCCCAAACTTCCGTAACTTCTGAATTTTGCCAAAATTTCCATTAATTCTGCAATTTCCATAATTTCCGTAATTTTTGAAACTCCGTAACTTCTTAATAGAAAAATTAGCAAATTTAAATAATATCTAATTTGTAAAATTTAAAATTTAAAGTTTTAAACAGTTATTAAATTTACAATTAATAAAGAATTATTGAGCAATTAACAATAGTTAAAATTTAGGGTTAAAAAATCAAAAATTTATTATAAAATCATATTAAATGCACTGAAAATGTACATGAAAAGAAAACTTTACATGATTACATAGAATTAACTATTTTTTCAGCTTCAGCAATTGGATCCCATTCTATATTAATGTCATTTTCTTTTTCAACTACATTTTGAATATTTCGTTCTCCCTCTAAATTCTCTTCCAAACTATCCTCAATAATTTTGTCTAAATTATTAATGAATACATCTGCATCTAAATTCAAGGTATTACTAATTATTAAATCACTTTCCTCACCAAATGAATTTACTTCTGTATCAATATCGTTATCATCATCCATAATTTCGATAAGATCTTCATCTGCATTTAAATATGTATTAACCAAAATTTCACAAATTTCCTCGCTTGTTTTTTCTATACTGTAATATGGCAACTCTTGCTTAGCATGTGCATGATAATAAGCTGACAATTTGTACATATTTCCACTTTGTTTAACCCTAATTGTGCTTTCCTTTTACCATATATCCAGCCAAGATTAGACCAAATCCGTTCACATCCAGCTGCATGGGGAGTAATTGAGAATAGTTTAATTGCTAGTTATACTAAGTAATCCTCTCCCTTGGGAAAATTATCTTTCATAGAAATCCACCAAAAAATTGGCAGTTCAGACTTGCCTAAATCAATATCAAATGGAATTTGACGCATGCGAAATAATTTCATCTGATGCATTAATTTATATTGTTTAGAATTTGTTTTTCCCATTTTTCTGAAAATTTTTTCTGCAGTTAACAGAAATTCTCAAAAAGTCCCTTGTGCCCAACAAATTTCTAAATGAACAATAAGATTAATATTTAATTTTTAATTTTTTTAAAAAAGATAGATTAATATACTAACCTTTATAACCTAGATGCAAGAAGAAACACAATAAGTATATTGGATCAGCAAATTCAATATAACGTTTATTAAAGATTGTAATACATTGATGACAGAAAATACGATAGTCATTTTGAGATAATTTGTTTATTGTAACTCTAAGCTGAGCTAATCCAATGAAACAATCCACAAGTATGTATGACTGTGATTCTAATCTTAAAATTGCTTTTTTGATAGGATGTAAAGCAAATGCTAATGCATGTACATCATTAAAAAAGACACAAGACCGTAAAACTGACAAAACTGCTGATAGAAGAAGGTCAGCATAATCAGATCGTAACTACAATAAAGTAAATAAATAAAAAATAATTTTATAAGTTAAAGAAATTAAATAGTATATGAACATAGATAAATAATAATTTTAATATTTACCTTCTCTAAAACTTCTTTATAACGCTTAATAGAATCAACACAGTCAAACATTGTATACTATTGAGTATTGACCTATCGTTTTAAACCACCTCCATTTAATTGACAGTTTTTGGCCTTTTTTTTTAATGCTGAACCTATCAAATATAAATAAAAACTTGAGTATTTATTATAACAATAATTAATGGGGTAGCAGTATCCTAAGACATATTAATATATTAATATATTAATATGTCCTAGGATACTGCTTGTTTAAGACTAATATGTCCTAGGATATTATAATCTATCAATTAATATGTCCTAGGATATTATAGTCTATCAATTAATATGTCCTAGGATGTTATAGTCTATCAATTAATATGTCCTAGGATGTTATAGTCTATCAATTAATATGTCCTAAGACATTATAATCTATTGATTAATACGTTTTAAAGATGGGGTCTATTTTTCCTCTCTGTGACCTGTTGGTTAGTAAATATGAATGGGGTGTGCACCTGTTTGCTTGCCTTTCTAGATGTCAAAATATGGTAAAAAAATATTGTGTCGGGTGGTGCAATAAATTTGTGTTTAATTTTAGCTGACACTATGCCATAATTTCAACCGATTTTTAGGACACGTGATTTGAGGATCCAACTCGGCATCATGATAGTGCTATGGTAGTGATCTAGAACTGTCATGAAACTGGTGAAGAACTGGCAAGGTGCTAGTGTAGTTCTATTAATTCGTCAGTTTTAGACCTCTTATATGCCAGCTTGGATGCTAAGTTCTTATGTCCAAAGTTTTGGCCGAAATTATAGAATAGTGCTGGCCAAAATTAACGAAATTTACTACGCCTTACTGTGTCATAATCACGTGTTCAGTTCTTTGCCAGTTCCAGGTACTTTCCCGTCACTTTCAAGTAACTTTTGAGTAATTTTCGAGGGCCTAGTTTAGTGGTCAGTTGGTTAGAGGATCGGAGGTGTAATTTGCATTATATTGATCAGCCCATATATTTTCCTTTTTGATTGCCATCTCTTGATTGCTGGATGAGACACGAAGTGTCGAATTTGCAATCCATCTATTTGCTGAAGATGTGTTGCAATCCATTCACTCACTTTTTGATTGCTGGTGAGACACATACGAAGTGTTAGTGTTGTGCTATTCTTGCAATCCTGTCTTTTGTGACCCTTTTGATTGCTGAGAATGAGGCATGAAGTGCCGAATTTATGCTCATTCTTGCAATCCCGCTCCTTATATGTCCTTTTTAATTGCTGAGTGAGGCATATGCGGAGTGTCAAATTGGTTTAGGCTATACTGTTTTCATACTATTTTTCATGTATTCTCCTGAATCTTTCTGCCTTCCTGACCTCTTTCTTGCCTATCACATGGTGACCCGGATGCACCAAACTTATCTCTCTCTTTCCTATATATAATTCTGCACATCTGGGTCACCTAAATTTGCCACGCTTTTGGCTTCTAGACCCTGTTCCTATATAGTTTCTACTTCAGGTATCTTTACATCGATTGCTTTGGAGTATTATTTAGTATATTTATTGCATGTTCATGTTAGTAATCTGATTAGAGGTCAGAATGGCATATACTTTTTTATTTCGTTTTGAGTCATACATATTACATTTTTTATTTTGAAGATTTGGGAAATTTACATGTAATTTTATACTTAGTATTTTACAATAAAACTTTCTAGGTATTTCAATAATTCGTCTGAAGCAGATATAGACGAGATCATCGAATTATATGGATAAGTATTCTTAGCTGAAATTGCCATACCTCCGCTAGAATACTTATAATATTATTTATATATTTTTTTCTTGTGCAATAATACCGGCTAACTTCAATCTCTATCTTCGAACTTCTGACCTCCGATCATATAACCCGGCCTCAGATATGCCTGAAAGTGTAAATCACTAGTCTGAATATATCGGTCACTTTTTTCTTTCAGCTTGGCGCTCCATAAATTCCATATTTTTTTCCTGACTATGAACCATATAATTGCAATAAGTAATAAGGTAAGTATGGAATATATTAATATAGGCGACATTAAGGAGTCCGCAACAATAGGAATGACCGATACTAGAGGTATTGCTTAGGCTGATGATACCACTTCTGCGCCATCCAATTGCTTCGCAACCCTTCCTTCGAAATAAAGTTTTCGAAATTTGCTGGTCGACTATGAATGGATTAATCGGGTAGGATGTCTGTCTGGCTTCTCGAAACCATCTCATCCTGGGGTAATAGTTCTTGCAAAGCCTCTAATATATTTTCTCTAGCAAAACTTTTATCGAGTTCTATAACCTTATCTTCAAGACCACGCTCATAGACGAGAGGTCTCAAATCGTCACTGAGCCAACCTGGTAGCTTTTGCGTTGAATCGTTCATAGGCGAGGGTGAAGGATCAGAGAGATCTTCTATTTCCTTATTTTTCTTTGAGATTATCTCTTGGAGACGAGAATTTTCCTTCATTAAGTTTAATCGCGCTGAAGACAAAGCATCTATTTCCCGACTGGTTATCTCATGTGTCGCTTCTATCCCTTTTTCTATGCATTTTATTTCATGTTTTTTTGAATTAAAATCCTCCTTTACCCGTTCCAATTCAAGCCTGAGAAAATCAATTTCTTTGGGTTCAAATGAGTTTATTTGGGCCGGCTTCTTTATCACCCCTCCCACTACATTCGAATCATGGAATACTGGATCCAGTTTCAAGTCCTCCAATTTACCTTTCAATTCAACTACCTTAGTTTCGAGAGAAAGAATCTTGACCTTGTCAGTGGATGAAGATTTTTGGGCCAAAGTTGCCTCTCTTTTTAGAGTTTTAATATTTGATTTAAGCGATTTGATTTTAGCAGTATATTTGGTTTCAAGTTCACGTTGACTCTCAGAATGAGACTTCCGTTCAAAAATAAGTTGGGATCTAACTTTAGTGCTAGACGCATTTAACTGGCTAATCTTATTTCCAATATCCTCCTCTCGCTCT